TGTCACGATATGAGCCCTATACGCGAGAATACATACACACATACATACATACATACATACATACACACACACACACACATACATACATACATACATACATACATGGCGTAATAACCCAGAAGACCAAAGCTTCATTGTCGTGAAGATCTTGTATAAATTATTGATGTTCATATACTAACCACGTTTAGAGAGAGGCGAAAAATGCATTATAAATGGATAGTATTCGTACACAGAAATCGCCAGTTTCACGATCCGACTGTCTTATTTCAAGGGAGAAACACCTTTAGCCCATTGAATGAAAGTCTGCGTGGGCCCCAGAGCCGGTGTACAATGGTAGTGAAGATAAAAATTCATACTCTTACTGCAATACAAGTCTCAGGCTATAGCTTCTATGTTCATTGCACATTACTTGCTTACAGTTTTCTCAAAGTGGTTCACTTCTTGAATCAAAATCCATTAGCAACATATAAATTCCTATCAGTTACAAATTACTCAGCTTTTCGAGGCGTTTCCTGCTGTTCAACTTGTAGGTTTTCAGGCTAACTAATTACCGCAGTCAAAAGAGCAAGCCTCTTTTGGGAAAGAGCCAGTCGCTCAGAGGGGGCACGCGATAGCGTAGTTGGTTGAGACGCTATGCTACAAGCCAGAAGGTCACGGGTTTGAGTCCCGATAAGATGGATTCTTTTTCAATTTACTTAATCCTTCGAGACGTACTATGGCTCTGGAGTCGACTCAGCCTCTAACAGAAATGAGTGCCAGGAATCTTCCTGCGGGTTAAAGGGCGGCCGGTGCGTAAGGTTGACAAACTCACCGCCATCTGTGAGCCGACTGTCTAGAGAAAATGTGGGAGCCTCGACGTCTCGCAACCTTATGGGCGTTCACGGCCTGTTACAGCATAGCTCCTAGCTTCTAGCTTTACCAGTCGCTCATAAACTCACGAATTTCCAAACATTTTATGGAACCCGAAGATTCATTACCGTGTTCACAAGAGCTGAGTCAGATGAATCCAGTCTTTATAACCCTATCCTGTTTCTATGACATACGAGTAATTTAATATTATCTCCTACCCACGTCTATGTATTCCTAGTGGTCTCTTTCCTTTTTTCGTTCCCACCAAAACCTTATATGTATTCCTATTCTCTCCCATGCGTGCTACGCACCTTGACCATCTTATTCTCCTTGACTCGATCATTCTAATTTTAATCGGTGGAAAGTTCTAAGTTATGAAGTTCCTCATTATGCAGTTTTCTCCAGCCTATTATTTCATCCCTCTTCGATCCAAACAATCTCATCAAGACCCTGTTCTCAAATACCCTTAATTCGTATTCTTTCCTTAATATCAGAGACCAAGTTCCACGCCCATACATAGCTACAGACAACATCAATTTTAATACTATTATCCTTCTAAACACCATATGATCTTCTACATAGATTCCTTCCACGAGATTTTCGAATTTCAATGTCATTCCATGTTTCCCCCCCCCCATACGTTTTGTAGACTCGACTCATTTCCATCTGCTCGATTTACCCTTTATAACGATGTTATGCGAGGAAAGCAAACCACGACATTTCTCCTTATCCCTGAGCACTTCGGCTTTACTTTATTTTAATCAGAGTGACGAACTAAGTGTGATGATTAGCACAAGACACTACGTAGATCTATTCAGAAAATTCTTTACACCTCCGTTAAAAGTTCTTTGGAAGTCTACAAAGTTCTGTCAGATTACTGAATGGCTATGCATTCAGCAACAATACTTCTCATACCGTCTCCATTTCGACTGTAACGGATTTGATTAACGTGTTGCCACGCAACAGCTCTGTAAACACGGTCCAACACGCAACAATAGATGAGGCTGTTTTTATGTCGTCCGCGCCACGCCCAGTGCTGGTAGCGGACCAATGAAATCGCAGTCTGACATGTGACACATGTTTTCTGTGTGGTCTGCGCCATTCAACAATAGAGGGACTGTGTTTTCGGTGAGAGGTCCGTGCCAAGATAATATAAGAGAGTACAGGAATGGGAATTGACTGAAGTTCCAAGGGAAAGCAGTGTGGCCGGAAGAAGAATTACATGTAGAAGAAGTAGTGTGTGACGTTACGTGTGCTGTACTACATCGATATTAGGAGCGTGTCATTTAGTGAGACTTTTATAGTTCCTGTGTTATAAATCCGTTACCAGGAAACGGATAGTGAAGAATAGTGGAAACAGACTGAGAAGATTAGTGTGGAGTGATTGTAAGTTGTGTAAATCAGCAATAGTGAAAAATTATTTGTTGGTACGACCTGTAGATATCTCGTATAGCGCTCAAATTAAAGAGCGACCCTTTCCTTAAATATCATTACGCGATTATGAACAAAAGAGGTGAAGCTATCCCTGTAACAGGCTGTGAAGGCCCATAGGGTTGTGAGACGTCAAGGCTTCCACATTTTCTAGACAATCGGCTCACAGATGTCGGTGAGGTTGTCAGCCTTACGAATTTGGTCGCCCTTTACCCGCAGGAAGAATCCTGGTACTAATTTCTGTTAGAGTCTGAGTCGATCCTAGAGTCATAGTGCGGTTGGAAGGATAAGGTAAATTGAAACAGCCAATGACCTCATCGGGAATCGAACCCGCGACCTTCTGGCTTGTAGCATAGGGTCTCAGTTACTACGCTTGAATTTTAAAAATTATTAGTTAGAAGAAGTTAATTCATTAAAAGGTTAATATTATCCTGTCATATATGCCCAGATTTACAAAGCAGGTTGTTGCCTTGCGATTTTCTATGTGAGATTTTATATTGATTATTTTACTTGACTTTTCAGAAGACTAAATATTGCATGACATATATGTATGGTAGATTTTGCATTTTAAGTTAATGAAGCCGAGACTGAGCATCAATCATGAGCTTTCTGGCAAACAGACACACGAAACAAAAAGTTTCATACCACTTACTTGTGCCCTAGAGTTCGTGGGAGCCGTTTATTTCAAGATATGTAATGATTCTGGCATGTAGTTTTATAGGTCCCACTGTCTGTTCATCACTTGCAATAACCTTACATGGCAGAGTCTAACAAACCAGTCAACATATTTTAAAATGTATGTATTTATGTTATAGTATATTTTACTAGTCTGATATTATTTGAATTATTATTTGATCCTGGGACGTAAGAGTTCTAAGGAGTTAGGATAGCGATGGACTACGGGCTGGAAGGCCGGGGTTCGATTCCCGGCAGACGCAAGATTTATCTCTTTTCTCCAGCATCCAGACAGGCTCTGGGGTTAACCCAGCCTCCTACTCAATGGGTACAGGAAGTGGAGCAGCAAAGCGTGAAGCTGAGTGTTATGCGGCCCATGAAAAAATTGCCTGTTATGCAACGATAAGGTTCAATATTGTCGTTAGAGTTCTTTGTCTTTTCTTCCTTTACAGTACATGTTTCGGCCGTAACTGGCCATCATCAGGTGTATTTTTCACTACGTAGCTGTCACACTGCACACAATCCAAAATCTAAAACACCAGCCTGTCAGTTTTGTTTTGTTTAAAATCTCGCCAACATACGCTCGTCAATTTGATTTTAGAATTCCAGTTTAAAATTTAAAGTTTTTTTAAAAATTAAAATTCAAAGTTTAAAGTTTTAAATGACAGGGATACCTGCTCTGTGTCTACACGTGCTGCAGCGGCTATGTCTTGTTCCCAGCGCCGTTCATGGAAACAAGACATAGCCGCTGCAGCACGTGTAGACACAGAGCAGGTATCCCTGTGATTTAAAACTTTAAACTTTGAATTTTAATTTTTAAAAAACTTTAAATTTTAAACTGGAATTCTAAAATCAAATTGACGAGCGTATGTTGGCGAGATTTTAAACAAAACAAAACTGACAGGCTAGAAATAAATTGTTGCATTCACGACGGCATTTGTATTATTACATACAGAAGTGTACAGTCAACAGAATGCTTAAATATACTGTCATTAGAATATACCGCCATTGTATGTTATGCCGAATCAGTTATTTTCAATTCAATTTACAACCTCATACATCTGAATATGTTTCTACAGGCTACGTCTAAGTGTCTGAGTACGCCTCTTCTTATTATCAGCGTTTCTGTAGAGGTACTCGCCTCCCCAGTGCTTACTACTTGTCTCGCTCGTTTTACACTTCTTGATTCTGCCAATATTTGGTGACGTGTACTAATTATGGAGTTCCTAATCATGTAATTATTCCCATCTTTTTAATCAATTTTAGAAAAATAGCAACACTTCGCCTTGATTATCTTGGCTTTGCGTTCTAACAGTTTTCCGTAGTGACAGTAAGGACACGCGTGTTGTGTTCGTCGCACACGGGCCGTTGTCAGAGTAAAACCCGTCCTGCACATGTTCCACTCCTTCCTTTTCGCTCCTCACAGAATTCTCACCAAGACAAGCTGAAGTACATGAACAAGTTGGTGGCATTTGGGTTACAAAAGACCACCGACCTTCGGAATGACAAAAGAGAGTCACAATCGGTTCCTGACACACATCTCTTGTTTGTGACGGCATTGCGGTCAGGTCTGCCTTTAGGGGGTTCAACCTTCCCTTCCCTGAAATGACAGGAACGATATAAATATAAGTGTCTTCATTACAAAATTTGCTGAAGTGATCAGCATTTATGTTACTCACATAGTTGACTTCTGAACATAAGCCTGAGGGTCTGTTTATTAAAAGGCAGTTGTTAACTGTTTTTCTATGCTCTTCCCATCCCCAAACGAATTCATAGACACGCCACTGCCTAGTTCCTTTATGTGAATGACCGAATGTAGAAGCGTATGTGGTAGCACTGATGTTTCGTATTCGAGATTGTCCGGCTTCAACTTTCGAGAAGTTGGCTATCCTTAAATATTCGTGGTTTTCGTCATACATAATAGACAAAACTTGGCAGTAGCAATTTAAAATAGACCACGATCTTATCCTTTCACATTCTAACCGATTCATCATTCAACCGAAGCGTCTGACTGATAGTGCAAAGCTAAAATTGAACTACGCGTGAATATAACGCCATGACGGCGTAGAGGGGGCGTGAAGTCCTATAAATGATGGTAAACTTGACAGTTGTCTGAGGTGGTCAGCTTCACAGAGCAGGGATGGGTCCCCCGCTAACCTACGCAGCTCAGAGAGTTTCGTTACGTAAACAAAGAAACATAAGGAACTTATGTGAATGAAGCCTCACCACCATTTTCTTTGCGTAAGCGTAGAGTATTTAATTTAAGCCTCCGCCCAAACACAGCAGATAAAGAAATAAAGAGGCAAGCAGTATCACACATACCACAAGCCCTTGTGAGTTGGAAGAAGATGAAAGCAAAACCAGTTCTTCCGGTTAACGTCTCTGCTTTGTAGAGATGCAACGTAACCTTCCTTACTTCTGGACTAGCACTGACTACTGTTGGCCGACCGGGATGCCTCTGACCGGCTGACCTTGGACAGAACAGAGCGCGTCAGAGATTGTTGCCTTTTTATCGTGAAGCGAGTGGAACGTATTCTAATCTTCCGGGCAAGTAGATCCAAATGTTAGCTTCTGATGATGCCTAGCACGAAATTAAAAGACGATTTGCGGAAGACGTAGTAAAATAATATATGAGTATTAAGGTGTACATCTGAAGTTACGGAAAATATTCCTTTATTTAAGGATGTCTATGTCATTTTGAACTGCAGTATTTACAACACCCCATCCCTGGACACTGTCCTGTGTCATATAAATGCAGTCCGCAGCCCGATATCCTAATTCTTTAATATTATCTTGGCAAAATCCCGCATGTGACATACAAAATTTTAGTTGAAATATGTGAAGGGTGTAAGAATTTTTAATGTTCAATGTGTGCTACACATTCCGCAAATATCATCCTCCTTGCTTTGACTGTCCTAATAAAATAAGGCGAGGAATATTAATGATAAAACTCCTCGACTCGTTTCATTGTTCAGACTACCTCTCAGGTCCAGATACTTCGGTATTCTCAGTAAGCCTTATCTATGTTGTCCCCTGAACGTGACTTCACAACAATACGAAGTAATAGGTAAATCTTTGTGGTTTCATTTATTTCATTCTTCACGAATTTAGACGCGAGATGAGAAGACAAAAGACTGTGGGAGGAAAGGTAGCAGCTGTTCCGAGAAACTGAAGCAGTAACAGCACATAGAGTTGCCTAAATCCCACCAGCAGTTTACCGAGCATTGTCACTGTTCCTATGCACTTATTTTCTGATGGCCAGGGCCCGGATTTTGATGACATGTCATCTTTTTTTCCTTGTATCCTATGCGATGCTCTTAAATATATAAATCTCGGATATGAGCTGCTGATTACAGAAATGTAAATTTTATAGGTAATTTTTTGGTAAATTTTTGGACTTTTAAGGGTATTTCTTGTCATTTTTGGCCATTTTAGGGAACTTTTCTTCATATGTTTTCTGAAATGTGAATAACATGGAAGCTAAGTGTTCTTTCTTTTCTCCTTTAGGTCATTTTTCTGGATTTTTCGGTCATTTTATAGGTCATTTTTTTTTAATATTTTCAGGTCATCAAAATCCGGGCCCTGCTGATGACAAACCCGCCCGCTTGTTTCAGTAACTAGATGTGCTTACAGCAGTATAATGACGTCAGAGAGCCCTTATCACCTTCGCACCCACCTGCCAAGATGGTTTCGTGAAGTTAAAAATGCTGTAGTGCCCAAAGCAGCTCTCGAATTCAATAAAATGTGCTTGGCACCGAGCTGGATGGTGCATTCGGAAGGTCCTCGGTTCGAATATCATCATCCTCCACCTTTCATGAATCTGTTTATGAAGCATTCTCTTCGCTTCGCACATTGAGATGAAAATTATTCCAATTTGTTAAATACGTGCTACATGACCCACTTATTTTCCTGACTCAAAACTTGAAAATAAAAAACAATTTTACTTGTTGTTTTGGTTTATATGGCTAAAAATCTTGGCCACTTAAGCTGGATCAAACGACAACACATGTAATTTGTAGACTTCTCGACTGAGAGACCGGCAATCCGGATTGTGCTGCCGCAGCAGTTCCAGACAAATGCCGAACCCCCCACATTCCGTCCAGTTACTTTTTTAGCAATCAATCCATAAGTCGAAGGGGGCACGCGGTAGCGTAGTTGGTTGAGGCACTATGCTACAAGCCTAAAGGTCGCGAATTCGAGTCCTGATGGGTAAGATTTTTTTTTCAATTTACCTAATCCTTCCGGACGCACTAGGGCCGTGGGTTCGACTCAGCCTCTAACAGAAATAAGTACCAGGAATCTTCCTCGTGTAAAGAGCGACCGACGCGTAAGGCTGACAACCTCACCGCCATCTGTGAGTCGACTGTGGAATGTCGAAATGTGGAAGCCTCGACGTCTCACAACCCTATGGGCCTTCACGGCCTGTTACAGGGATAGCTTTACTTGTTTAGGTGTTTACCCATAAGTCGACGCTATATGGTGCTAGGAAAATATTTGGACCTAATACAGAGGACGTAATAGAAAGATAAAGAAAATTTTATAATGAATAGTTTAAAGAACTCCACGTTAAGATGATTAAATGAAGAACGAAATTGGTGGGATTTGCAATACGCATTTGAGAAACGAGGAATTCGTAAGGATTTTGGTGGGGAAAGTTTCATAGGCGTAACAGGTGGGAAACATCAGAAGCCACAGGGCAAGAAGGTGTTCGTAAAGTTCTCATCGTTAGGTTTGTGTCTAATGGCGAACTTCTGAGAAAATGGTCATGCAATTCGTGGCCCCATAAAAGCAGGTAATTTCTTAGCCATCTGAACAACTTATCAACTTAAAGAGACCTTGAACTATGGCGTTAGTACTTAAATAGTTGGATATTTAAAAGTGGTATAAACCGTACACTAATAACTTAATGGCTTCCTATCTTACACCGTCCCCTTCTAGCATCAAAGCCGAATGGAAATTTTGATAACGTGCAAGATTACTTTGATTTACACTGTATGCATAATGCAGCGTTTACAGGGAACCAGGCAATCACGTAAACCGACGAGTTCTCATGCTTTGCCAGTGAGAAGCCACAAGCAACAAGCTCAGCGCCTATAGTAAAAATAGCCGACGTAGTGGTGCAGATCAGATTCCGAAGGACTGAAAATTACAGGATTAATACAAATTTTCTGAAACATGTATTGTAACATAACTACTTAAACATTGTCCGTTGCGTGTTAACGGCTTGAACAAGCGAGCCATCTCTAGGCAACGGCCCGCGACAACAAAAGAAAACTGTTGTAAGTGGTGGTTTCTATGCCGTCCGTTCCGAGAGTAAATTATGCGGGGGATAGAATTAATCGTTTGCCACTTATGTATCATGCTTCGGCCGTTAACGGCCATCATCAGGTGAATACAAATCAACAAACATATACTATTGAACTGTAGTAAAATTAGATACAATGACAAAATAGTTAATTCTTATGTGTAAAAATACAGCGGTCATTTATATATAAAAGTGAAGGTTATAATATAAAACAAGATTAAAATTGATGTTTTGTAACATCTGATCAGCGTATGTTTACTTTATACGTTCCGTGGACAAAACAAAAATTTAAGATGGTATTAGAGGCCCACGACTTTGTAAGTTAATTAATTTGAAAATATATAGGAAAAGGAATAGTATTAAATGTTATTTGAATATTTAAATTGAAGCTGTAGTATATATAATACATGTACTTACAGAGTAGAGGTGCCTCATCATACGAAAGAAAATGTCCGTACTGTGTGAGAAGTAAACAACGACTGATTTGTTGATGTAAAATTAAAGTCGACTCAAGGGAAGGAGGGGGGGATAAGGTATATGGGAAGTGAAGGTAAAGAGAGAGGGGGGGGAAGTAACTGTATGTTATGTTTTGGAAGTATTGATTATAACATCATATATGGGGTTGAACATTTCAGTAAAATTGTCATTCAGCTGTAAATTTTGTTTACTGATTTCATAAATATGAAATCTTTCGTATGTATCTAAAGTTCGTCCTTTCTTGCCGATATATATCGTATTATAATCATGCGTAGTATCTAAAATATGTTGTGCAAATTTAGAATTTTGTCCATTATTTTTTATATCACGTGCGTGTTCTTTGTATCTGATATTAAATGTACGTCCGGTTTGTCCTATATATTTCAATGGACAGTTAGAACATTGTACTTGGTAAACCCCACTGAGATTATCATCATCATCATCATCATCTTTAATTTTCAATATTTTATATTGTTTTCTATATGACGGGACAAACGTCTCTTACTATTCAGCTCCACCTCTT